ACTGACGGAGAGAGAGGGGGTGGATACTGACGGAGAGAGAGGGGGTGTATACTGACAGAGAGAGAGGGGGTGGATACTGATGGAGAGAGAGGAAAGATACTGACGGAGAGAGAGGGGGCGGATACTGATGGAGAGAGAGGAAAGATACTGATGGAGAGAGAGGGGGTGGATACTGACAGAGAGAGTGTGGAGATATTGATGGAGAGAGGGGGGAGATACTGCCTGAGAGTATGTGGATACCTACAGAAAGAGAGAGGGATACTGATGGAGAGAGAGGGGGCATACTGATGGAGAGAGAGGGGGATATTGACAGAGAGGGGTCGATACTGGTGGAGAGGAACTGGAGATACTGAGGGAGAGAGAGAGCGATACTGACAGAGAGACAGCAATACTAATGGTGAGAGGGGCTATACTGACGGGGAGAGTGTGGGCTATTGATGGAGAGGGGCTTTTTACTGATGAAGAGAGAGGGTGATACTGACAGAGAGGGGAGATAGTGAGACGGGGGTATCAGTGCAAAGAGAATGCACAAGGCCAGGGGAACGCGTGCGTGAACTGTGGAGGAGTGGAGGAGAGGGAGAGTGTTAGATGAGAGAAGAGAGAGATGGAGAGATGGGGGAGAGAGTGAGAGAGGTAGAGAGGGAGAGAAAGAGAGAGGGGAAGAAAAGGGATAGAGAGAGATGTGGGTGGGAGTGTCACTGACGTGTACACTATTGTTTCTCCAGGTCTGTGCCATTGAGAGTGACTCCATGCTAACCTGTCCGTCACCTCCATACTCAGTTTCCACGGTGAATGTTCACTTTGACATTAATGGGATTCGCTATAAAAAAGCAAGTCTGACGCGTGCCAGTGCAGCCTTTAGACTGCACTATTACAATGACCCCCATTTCTACCGCAAAGAGAAACTGATTAAACACCATAAGGGAGAGCCACTCACCCTGGTGATTGAGGTAAGAACACCCAGTTTTACCTTCACTCCCCAAAAGGAAGGTCTGTCCCTCAATCTCACACAAAGTCTACTCTCAATCAGGGACTATTCACAACTCACAGCCCGAGGTCACAGGGACCACTTGTAGACAGATAGAGGGGAAATCAGCCAGGATTTTTGCTCCTGATCACTGTCCAGTGATCCCTGGGTTAGAGAGAGTGGGGGGAAATCAGCCAGGATTTTTGCTCCCGATCACTCTTAGTCACTCGTTCTCTCCCTTGTCACTTGGTCTGTATGTTACTGTGTTCTCTTTACCTCTCTCATAGTCTAGATTCTGTGCTCTCTCTCTCTCTCACTCACACGTACACACGCAATACTCTTTCTCTCTCCCTCTTCCTCTCTCTCCCTCTCTATCTCTTCTCTCACTCTCTCCCCCGTTTCTCCATCTCTCTCTCCCTCCGTCTCTCTTTTCCTCTCTCTCTCCCTCCCCTCTCTCTCTCCCTCTTTCTCTTTCTCTCTCCCTCCCCCCACAACCACCACCACTCCCCTCCCCACAACCACCACCACCCCCCTCCCCACCCCCACTGGCCTCCCGCTCTCACTCTCTCTACATCTCAGCCTGTATTCTCACTGCGTCGTCATCTCTCTGTCTCTTTCAGAAAATACAGGACAACTTGAACCTGGCACCAGAAGAGTATAAAGTGATGATTGGCTCCTTCCCCTGTGATCTCTATGTTGTGAAGGGAAAGATTCACTGTTCGGTGAATGTCTCTCTGGAGTCCGACGAGAGACAGTTACCAGTGTCGGTGAGTGAGACAGTTACTGGATCCTTACACTGTGTGACTCCTGGGTCTGCACTCCCCAGTCGTCAGGATCATCCTTCATGTGTTTACCCCATCTCGCCCTGTTAGAATTTTATAAATTTCTATAAGATCTGTCCTCTTCCTCGGAACTCCGGCAAATATTGTCCTAGCTAACCCAGTATCTGTTCATACGTCAGTCCTGCCATCCCAGGACTCGGTGTGGTAAACCTTCATTACACTACCCCCAACACCAGAACATCCTTCCTCAGACAAGGAGACCGAAGCTACACACAATACACCACATGTGGTCTCACTGATGCCCTGTATAATTACAGTAAGACATCCCTGCTCCTGTACTTGAATCCTCTCACTATGAAAGGCCGGCAAACCATTTACCTTCTTCACTGCCTGCTGCACCTACATGCTTACTGTCAGTAACTGGTGCACAAGGACACCCCGGTCTTGTTGTACTTCCCTGTTTTCCAACCTATTACCATTCTGATAATGATCTGCCTTCCTGTTTTTGCTCCCAAACTGGATATAATCCAGATTATACTTCATCTGCCGTGCATTTACCCACTTAGCTTATCCAAATCACACTGCAATGTCACTGCATTCTCCACACAGCTCCCCTCCGATCCAGCTTTGTGTTGTCTACAAATTTGGAGATATTAAGTTTAGTTCCTGGATCTAATTCATTACTATTTATTGTGAATAGCTGGGGTCCTAGCACTGATCCCTGCGGTACCTCACCAGGCAGTACCCACTGTTTGGAAAAAGACACATTCTACTCTTTGTTTCCTGTATGGTAACCAGTCTGCTAATCTGTGTCAGTACACGAACCCCAATCCCATGTGCTTTAATTTTACACATTCATCTCTTGTGTGGGATTTTGTCGAAAGCCTTCTGAAAGTCCTAGTGGACCACATCCGTTGGCTCCCCCTTATCAAAACTACTGGTTACATTCTTGAAGAATTCCAGTAGACTGGCCATGCATTGCTTTCCCTTTTGTAAATCCATGCTGACTCTGTCTGATCCTGCCACTGCTTTCTAAGTGGTTTGCTATTAAGTAGTTTATAATGAGCTCAAGCATTTGCCTCCTGATCAATATGCTGTCATACTGATGTCAGGCTAATTGTTCTGTAATTCCTGGATTTTATCTCGACTTGCCTTTTTAAACAGAGGGGCTATAGTAGCTACCCTCCAATTCATAGGAACTGCTCCAGAGTCTATAGAATCTTGACAGATGACCACCAATGTATCCAATATTTCTCGTGTGACTGAGTGCTCTGGCATGTAGATTTCAGGCCTTAGAAGTTTATCAGCCTTCAGTCCCATCTATTTCTCCAACACCACTACTATACTAATACTGATTTCTTTAGTTCCTCTCCCTGACTAAATCCCAAAACTTTTGGTATGTTATTTGCACCGTCCTTTGTGAAGACCGAACTAAAGTATGCATTCAATTGGTCTATCATCTCTTTGTTCCCTATTATAATTTCCCCTGTTTCTGACTGTAAGAGACCAACCATTTTCTCTTCACATACCTGTAGAAACTTTTATGATCAGTTCGTATGTTCCTTGTAAGTTTACACTGGTAATTTATTTCTCCCTCTTAATCAAACCCTTTGTCCTTTTTTGCTGAAATCTAAATTGCTCCCAATCCTCAGGTCTGTTTTTTTTTGGCCAATTTGTATGTTCCTTCCCTGGATCTAGTACTATCCCTAATTTCACTAACGGTCATGGTTGGGCCACCTTTCCCATTTTATTTATGTCAGACGGGATGAAACAACTGTTGCAGTTCTTCCATGCACTGTTGAAACTTTTGGCTGCCTATCCACTGACATCTCTTCAAGTAGCATTCACCAATTTACGCATAGCCAGCTCAAGCCTCATAGAGTCATAATTGTACAGCACGGAAACAGACCCTTCCTTCCAACCATGCCGAATATAATCCCAAACTAAAGCAGCCCCACCTGCCCAGTCCTGGCCCATATCCCTCCAAACCTTTCCTATTCATGTATTTGTCCAAATGTCTTTTAGACGTTGTAATTGTATCCACATCCATCATTTCCTCAGGAAGTTCATTCCACATATGAATCACCCACTGTGTAAAAAATTTGCCTTTCATGTCGTTATTTAAATCTCTCTCCTCTCACCTTAAAAATGTGCCCCCCTAGTCTTGAAATCCCCCATCCTAGGGAAAAGACAACTATAACACCATAGCTTCCTTTTTTTAGGATCAAGACCTTAGTCTCAGACTCAACTACGTCACTCTCTATTTTAAAGTTCATATTGGTTTGATAAATGCTGGTGTACACGAGGTTTGGTGCGCTGTTTCTTGTAACTAAGGAGTGAACGCTGTGTTGCAGGTACATGTGGGGAAATACAATGAGACCATTGCGATGGTACAGTTGAGTGAGAGCGACTTTTCCATCATCATGTCCATTGTGGTGTGTGTTGTGTTGCTGCTGGCCTGTGCCATTGGTAAGAAATTACACCGCGTGTGGTAAAAGGCAAAATCTCTCAGCAGCAAAGCAGACTGGAAGGAGACTCAATGGGAAATGTACCTGGGGAGCTGCTGTTTCACACAACAGGGGAATTAACGTGAAATTAAAAGCTTTGTAATGAGTTCTGCTCGTCCTCGTAGGCTGAAGCCTCAGTGACGTCCAATCCCCATGTACCTCACGTCTGATGGACATGAGTAACTTGGCGGGGAATGGGAATGGAACCTGGAGCCTGTTGAATGTCAGTACAGGTTCTAGAGGCTGAATGGCCTCCCCCGCTCCTCACCGACATGGTTGAAGGGCTGAATGGCCTCAAGCTATCTGTGTGCTGCTCTCTGTCTGTTTGATGAATTCCTCCAAAGCTCACCCTCTGCTTGGGGACTGTTAAAGCGTTCTTGTTGTGGCTGAGGAATCTCCGAAATGTAGCCCAATGGCTGGCATTTCTTCCTGATATCCAGCAGTTTATCCCAATATATGACACTTAATCCCAATATCCAGCAGTTTATGGGGAGGCAATGGCCTAATGATATTATCGCTGGACTGTTAATCCAGAAACCCGGATAACATCCTGGGGACCCAGGTTCGAACCCGCCACAGCAGATGGTGGAATTTGAATTCAATAAATATCTGAAATTAAGAGTCTAATGATGACCATGATTTCATTGCCGATTGTTGGAAAAACCCACCTGGTTCACTAATGTCCTTTAGGGAAGGAAACTGCCATCCTTACCGGATCTGGCCTACATGTGACTCCAGACCCACAGCAATGTGGGTGACTCTGAACTGCCCTCTGGGCAATTAGGGATGGACAATAAATGCTGCCTAGCCAGCGATGTCCTCATCCCATTAATGAATAAATAAAAAATCCTAATGTCCAGCAATTTATCTCAATGTCTTGCAGTTTATCCTGATAGCTAGCAGTCTATCCCGATATCCTGTATTTCCACATGGTCCTTATATTTTCCAGCTCTGGTCGTTTTTTGCACAAAGAGCAGACGTGCGGAGCGATATCGGCAGAAGACTCTGCTCCAGATGGAGGAGATGGAGGCTCAGATCAGGGAGGAGATCCGGAAAGGTACAGGGCCAGGAGCTGAGCTTCTCCCCCTTTGCATGTTCCCGGAGAGAAATGGACCAATACAGTTCTTCCCATTGACTCGGTGACAAGCCAGACCTGCCTTATCAGTTTTGACTGGATTCGAGTTAGCCCAGTACAGCTTCGACAATGAAAGCTGAATCAAAATAAACATGCACACAGTTCACTGGAAAGAGTGCGTTAATAATGCTGCCTTGTTGTTCCCCGGTTAGAACACCAAAAATGCCTAATTTACCTACAAAAACAGAAATTGTTGGAAAAACTCAGCAGATCTGGCAGCCCTTGTGGAACAAAATCAGAATTAATGTTTTAGATCCAGTGATCCTTCATAAGAATGACCAATTTACCTGCCTGACTGTTATTCAGGACAAAAACAATTCACACAGGTTTCAGCATTAGCAGAAAAGTTGTAAAAGGCTTCACTTTAACTAAAAGCCGAGAAAGGAAAAGATTTCTAATCTATCACCAAGTAACAAGTTATACCCCTTTAAAACTCAAATACGTGCACAGTCAAATACAATTAAGGCAGAGAAAAGACAAACCATTGACATAGATATTACAAGTAGGAAAAAAAACAGAAGTGTGAACAAAAAAAAACCCAAAGATCTCAAGTCCAGATTTGGAAGGGAGGTTAAATTGTCTCATGCAGTTTTATTTAATTTTTCTCACTAGTTGTCTGTAGAGTGGTGGCCATTCTTCAATTAGGAAGCTGTTCACATAGACCTAGGTCTTGTTCATATTCTATCTTTATTGGTTATTCTGCATTTTTCCCCATGGAAACAAAAAGAGAGCAGGGCAGTTGGATGACTTCTGTTTGCAGGCTTTGGCAGCTTTGCTAGGATGGCACTTGTAGCTTCTAACACCCTGCAGCTCAACCAAACAGAGGGCTGTTGCCGGGCAGAATTGGCCGAACTCAGAAAAATCTCTGTGCCACTCCATCTTAGATCCTCTCCCTCACTGCTTCAAAGAGCAACGTTGTATGACACAGCTCGCAAAATGTGAAGCGCTTGATGTTCAAATTGCAAAGCACCCCCTGGTATTTCAGTCATAGCTGTTGCAATGTCCTCATCAGCTTATAGACCCAAAAATGAAAACTGATGTAGTCTCATACAATATAATGTCAGGTTTTCGAAGGACTTCAGAACCTCACCTATTTTGTGCTGGCTAAGCCGTGATTTGGATTTATTTACATATATGTTATACAGGAGCAAAGTTTCCAGTGTACAACAATTTATCTGAAACCTTTAATCCCATATACAGTGTAGTTAAAGAGAATCCAAACTCTTCCTAGATTTTGATGGTGAGTTCTCAGTCTCTGATCTATACTTGAGAATGTTTACACTGCAGTTGTGAGTCATAGAATCCCTAATGAGTGGAAGCAGGCCATTCAGCCCATTGAGTCCACACTGACCCTCCAAAGAGCATCCCACCCCAGTCCCATCCACTTACCTTATCCCTGTAGCCCTGCATATCCCATAGCTAATCCACCTAACCTACATATCCCTGGACACTATGGGCAATTTAGTCAATGGTAGTTGTCTCTCTTCTCTCATGGAGGAGAATCATAGAATCATATAGCACAGAGGGAGCCCTTCAGCCAATCGTGTCTGTACTATCTACATTAGTCCCTCTTTTCTGCACTAAGCCCATAGCCGTGAATCTTATGAGACTTCATATGTTCATCCAAGTAGATTTTAAAGGTTTTGAGGAGATTATGAGTTCAATTCCAGTTTTAGAGGCTTTAACCTTTAATTCAAGTGGACTCTCCACTGAGGACTGAGGGAGAGCTGCTTAGTTAGAGATGCTGTCTGACTGTTAACCAGTACTCCCTCTGACCCTCTCAGGCAGTTGGAAAAGATTCCACGGAGTTATTTTGAGAAAGAGTGGAGGAGGGTTCTGCCCCAAGTCTAGGCTATCGGTCTCCGTCACACAAAACGATTACCTGGTTGTTATTGCATCTGCTGTCGTGGGATCTTGCTGTGTACATCTTCTTTGCTGCATTTCCCACTTTGTATGTACTTCAATGGGCTTGACCATGCTTTATGTCCTCCTGTCGTTGTGAAAGTTGCTATATAAATGCAAACCTTTCTTGGATTTGCTAACGGTCTGGTCCCGACCTTTGGGATTTTCCTGTTGCTGTAGGTTTTGCCGAGTTACAGACCGACATGACGGATCTGACGAAGGAATTAAACCGTAGCCAGGGAATCCCGTTTCTGGAGTACAAATACTTTGTCATCCGTACATTCTTCCCAAAGGTAAGTCCCCATGTGTCCTCCCTGTCTGTCCCCCCCACCCCCTCACAGTCAATGCTTCATGATGACCCCTTCTTTGTTTGTCTTTCCCACTCACTCTTTCCTCTCTTTCAGCATGTTGTTCCACTCTCTCTATCCACCCGCAAACCACACCTTGGCCATGTCTTCTCCTCCCATTCTTCCTTGCTTCATTTTGTCCTTCCTCCCCTCTTCTTTCTTCCTTCCCTCCCATAGATTCCTCCACTGATGTCATTTTTCTCTTCCCTCCTTCCTGTCTTCCTCATTTCTTTCCTCCTCTCACTGCTGCACCTCCACACCCCGCACGCTCACTTCTCCCTCCCACTCATTCTTCTCTGCCTCTTTGTCACACCTCACCTTCGCCTCACCCTCACACTGTTTTGACTGGGATTGGATTGAATTTGCCTGGGATTGGATTGAATTTGCCTGGGATTGGATTGAATTTGCCTGGGATTGGATTGAATTTGACAGGAATGGCATTTATTTTGACTGGGATTAAATTGACTTTGACAGATTGGGATTGGTTTGGATGGGATGGGATTTAATTAAGTCACAGGGAATGTTTATATCCTGCTGGGATGTGATTTGGCAAGAGGTATGAAAATAATTGCCCGGGAAATAGCTGCTGAAGGCACCCGTTGACAAAGGAGGGTAAACACAGACAGGAGGCCAACCAGCTCAGTCTGTACCAGACAGAGGAGATCTATTCAAAAGGTCGAGACTTTTCCAGTGTCTGTCATTGATAATCATCCAGTGCCGTCCTTTCTTCCAGTGCTCCATAGACAGTGAAAGCCAGAGCTCAGAGCGTTTCCACCAGCTGACCTCTCAGTCCCGCATAGCAGCCATTTCTCCGAGCCCTCCAGAGACCCACCCACTGCTACAGCCTGATTGGAAGGTGAGACTCGAATGGTGAACCACTGCATAACATCAGTGTGATGCTGAATCCTGCGGAGCTGGCTTTGCTGTGACACTGGATCCAAGTGACACACTTTTAGAGTGGCTTTGTATCCAGTGAAACTGATTTTGCGCCGTTAAATCCCCTGGAGTTGATATGACTATGATTTTTAACGTGATACTGGATCTAGTGTTTTTGGTGACAGTGGATTGTAGGTGCTATCTAATCCCCCGGCCAACATCAGACTGACCCTACAGACATAGCTCAGGAACGCACTGGTTTTGAGAGGCACAGTCCAGATGAATTCACAATACTTAAAGATGAATTTCCAGTGTCAGTGTGAAACTCAGAGTGGGTCGGGCCAGGGCAGAGGCCTGGTATGTGGGAGCGAACATAAGAACTAGGAGCAGGAGTAGGCCATGTGGCCCCTCGAGCCTGCCCCGCCATTCAATAAGATCATGGCTGATCTTTTTGAGACTCAGCTCCACTTACCCGCCCGCACACTATAACCCTTAATTCCTTTATTGTTCAAAAATTTATCTAGCCTTGCCCTAAACACATTCAGTGAGGTAGCTTCAACCGCTTCACTGGGCAGGGAATTCCACAGATTCACAACCCTTTGGGTGAAGGAGTTCCTCCTGACCTCAGTCCTACATCTGCTTCCCTTTATTTTGAGGCGATGCCCTCTAGTCCTAGGTTTACCTGCTAGAGGAAACAACCTCCCTGCCTCCACCTTATCTATTTCCTTCATAATCTTATATGTTTCTATAAGATCTCCCCTCATTCTTCTGAATTCCAATGAGTATAATCCCAGTCTACTCAGTCTCTCCTCATAATCCAACCCTCTCAACTCTGGAATCAACCGAGTGAATCTCCTCTGCACCCCCTCCAGTGCTAGTGTATCCCTTCGCAAGTTAGGAGACCAAAACTGCACACAATACTCCAGGTGTGGCCTCACCAGGACCCTATACAGCTGCAGCACAGCCTCCCTGTTTTTAAACTCCATCCCTCTAGCAATGACAGACAAAATTCCATTTGCGTTTTTAATTACCTGCTGCACCTGCAATCCCACCTTCAGCAATTCATGCACAAGGATACCCAAGCCCCTCTGCACAGCAGCGTGCTGCAATTTTTTACCATTTAAAACATAGTCCATTTTGCTGTTATTCCTACCAAAATGGATGACCTCACACTTGTCAACATTGTACTCCATCTGCCAGACCTTTGCCCACTCACTTACACTATCTATATCCCTCTGCAGACTTTCAGTGTCTTCTGCACATTTTGCTCTACCACTTACCTTAGTGTCATCTGCAAATTTTGACAAACCACACTTCGTCCCCAACTCCAAATCATCAATGTAAATTGTAAACAATTGCGGTCCCAACACTGATCCCTGAGGCACACCACTAGCCACTGACCGCCAACCAGAAAAACACCCATTTACCCCTACTCTTTGCTTTCTACTGGTCAACCAATCCTCTCTCCATGCCAATACATTACCTGTAATACTGTGCAACTTTATCTTATGTAGCAGCCTTTGGTGTGGCACCTTGTCAAATGCCTTCTGGAAATCCAGATACACTACATCCACAGGTTCCCCACTGTCCACCATACAAGTAATGTCCTCAAAGAATTCCATCAAATTAGTTAAACATGACCTACCCTTCATGAACCTATGCTGGGTGTTCCCAATGGGACAATTTATATCCAGATGTCTTGCTATTTCTTCCTTAATGATAGATTCAAGCATTTTCCCCACTACCGAAGTTAAGCTAACTGGTCTGTAGTTACCTGCTTTTTGTCTACTTCCTTTTTTAAACAGTGGTGTCACATTGGCTGTTTTCCAATCTGTGGGAACCACTCCAGAGTCCAGTGAATTTTGGTAAATAATTACTAGTGCATTTGCTATTTCCTCATCACCTCTTTTAGTACCCTGGGATGCATTTCATCAGGGCCAGGAGATTGTCTACCTTTAGCCCCATTAGCTTGCCCAGCACTGCCTCCTTAGTGATAATGATAGTTTCTAGGTCCTCACCTGCTATAACCTTCTTGCCATTAGTTTTCGGCATGTTATTTGTGTCTTCCACTGTGAAGACCGACACGAAATAACTGTTTAATAAACATAATAATAAAACATAAAACATTACAGCACAGTACAGGCCCTTCGGCCCTCGATGTTGCGCCAACCTGTGAAACCAATCTGAAGCCCATCTAACCTAAACTATTCCATTATCATCCATATGTTTATCCAATGATAATGTCTCGGCTATTTCCTCATTCCCAGTTATTAAATGGGCCTTCTCATCCTCTAAAGGACCAATGTTTACCTTCGCCACTCTTTTACGATTTACATATTTATAGAAACTTTTGCTGCCTGTTTTTATATTCTGAGCTAGTTTACTCTCATAATCTATCTTACTTTTCTTTATAACTTTTTTTTGTGGCTTTCTGTTGGCCTTTAAAGATTTCCCAGTCTACTAGTTTCCCACTACTCTTTGCTTCTTTGTGTGTGTTTTTTTTCAATCTGATACTTTCCTTTATTTCCTTAGACATCCATGGCTGGCTGTCTCTTTTCCTACAGTTCTTTCTTATCACTGGAATATACTTCTGCTGAGCACTGTGAAAAATCGTTTTGAAAGTCCTCCACCGTTCCTCAATTGACCCACCATAAAGTTTTTGCTCCCATTCTACCTTAGCTAACTCCTCCCTCATTCCTTCATAGTCTCCTTTGTTTAAGCACAGGACATAGGTACTGGATTTAATCTTCTCACGCTCCATCTGTATTTTAAATTCGACCATACTGTGATCACTCCTTCCGAGAGGATCCCTAACTGTGAGATCATTAATTATTCCTGTCTCATTACACAGGACTAGATCTAGGATAGCTTGCTCCCTCATAGGTTCCATTACATATTGTTCAAGGAAATTATCGCGGATGCATTCCATGAAACCCTCCTCAAGGCTGCCATGACCAACCTGGTTTGACCAATCGATATGTAGATTAAAATCCCCCATGATAATTGCTGTACCATTTTTACATGCATTAGCTATTTCTATGTTTATTGCCCGTCCGCCACGATGTCATTATTTGGTGGCCTATAGACCACACCTATCAGTGACTTCTTCTCCCTGCTATTCCTAATTTCCACCCAAATGGATTCAACGTTTTGTTCAGTAGAACCTATATCATCTCTCACTACCGCCCTGATATCATCCTTAAAAATCAGAGCAACACCACCTCCCTTACCTTCCTGTCTTGTCCTTCCGAATAGTTTGATACCCCTGGATATTTAACTCCCAGTCATGACCATCCTGTAACCATGTCTCTGTAATGGCCACTAAATCATACCCATTTGCCATGATTTGCGCCGTCAACTCATCCATCTTGTTTCGAATGGTCTGAGCATTCAGATAAAGTGCCCTTATGCCAGTTTTTGCAACTTCTTTTTGGGTCCTATTACCTCCATTACTAACAGCTCTTGAGTTCTCCTTCCCTTCATCTTTTTTCCTAATTTTCAATGGAGTTGAAGCTTCCTCGTCACCTGCTAACCTGCTGCTTTGCCTTACATTAATTGTTATTCTCCCTCTACGCTCACTTCTCCCTTCCACCCTACTTGCTAGTTTAAAGTCCTATTGACCACCCTATTTACACTTTTCGCCAGCACACTGGACCTGGCCCTGTTCAGGTGGAGTCCATCCCAGCGGTATAGATCTCTCCTGTCCCAGAACTGATGCCAGTGCCCCATGAAAAGGAAACACTCTTTTCCACACCACCCTTTTAGCCACGTGTTTACTTCCCTGATCCTCGCCTCCCTATGTCAATTTGCACGTGACTTGAGCAGCAATCCAGAGATTATGACCCTTGAAGACCTGTTTTTTAATTTTGTTCCTAGCTTTTCACAATCCCGAAACAGGTCGATTTTCCTAGTCCTGTCTATGTTGTTGGTGCCTACGTGGATCCTCCCCCTCCCTCTGGATCCTCCCCCTCCCTCGCTAGTATCCTCCCCCTCCCTCTTTCGTATCCTCTCAAGCCGGTCAGAGATGTCTCGCACCCTGGCACCGGGCAGGCAACACACCATGTGGGATTCTCTATACTGCTCACAAAGGATACTGTCTATCCCCCTGATGATGAAATCCCCTACAACTACAATCTGTCTTTTTGCTCCCCCCTCTTGAATGGCCTCCTGGACCATGGTGCCATGGTCAGTTGACTCATCCTTCCTGCAGCCCCGTTCCTCATCCACACAGGGAGCAAGTGCCTCATACCTGTGGGACAATGTCAAGGGCTGCGGCTTCTGTGTTCCTGTCTGCAGGGTCCCTCTACCTACCTCACTCGCAGTCACACACTGCTGTCCCTGCTCGCCGATCGAATTAACATTAGTTAATCTACCAGGTGTGACTGCCTCCTGGAACACAGCATTCAGGTATTTCTCCCCCTCCCGGATGTGCCGCAGTGTTTGGAGTTCGGATTCCAGTTCATCAATTTTGAGCCGGAGCTCCTCAAGCAGCCAACACTTGCTGCAGATGTAGTCACTGCCGTTCGCAATGGGATCAGCTAGCTCCCACATCATACAGCTACAACACATCACCTGGCCTGCCATCTCTACTTAGTTAATTATTTAAAATTAATTCGTTTTTGTTTTAGTTTTGCAGTGTTCTCTGCACCAGTAAGTTTACTCCATTATATACTCAAACAGACTCCGGCTTTGCCTTCCAACCCGCTCCCAGAGGATTTGGCGTCTGGGTGACCACCCCGAAAGATAACAAAGAGATGAGGAAAAAAAAATGCAAATAGCTTACCTGCTCACCACACTTAGTCGTTATTATTAGGTTAGAGGAGGTGGAAGGGTGGGAGACACTACGCATGTAGTGTCTCGGGTATTAGTTAACTCCCAAATTTATTGGGTGGAAGCTTACCTTCCCAGGCTGCCATCGCGCTCTCTCCCAGACTCCCACCGCTGAAACAACCGAAAGGCCGTAGCAGCTGTTTACACTGCTTCCAGTTCCAGGGCACCCGTGTGAATGTAAAGGGGCAGCAGCAGTGTGGTGGCACGTCCTAGAGTGCCAGATGTGACAGTGGGAAATGCATGACCTTGAACGGGGGCATCTGGGGGGCATCTACACTCAGAGTGACCCTGTACCGGGGAGTGAGGGGGTTATTTACACTCGGAGTGACCCAGTACCAGGGAGTGAGGGGGTTATTTACACTCGGAGTGACCCTGTACCGGGGAGTGAGGGGCTTATTTACACTTGGAGTGACCCTGTACTGGGGAGTGAGGGGGTTATTTACACTTGGAGTGACCCTGTGAGCGAGGGAGGGGGGTATTTACTCAGAGTGACTACATTAAGGCTCTGTCCCCGGTGTGACTGGAAGCTGATCTCGAAGCCCTCCTCTTTGCCCTCCCTGTAGGTTCCTGAAAACTGTCGTCAGAACATGGAGGAAGGGATCAGCCTGTTCTCGCTGCTCCTCAACAACAAACATTTCCTCATCACCTTTGTCCACGCTCTCGAACAGCAGAAGGATTTTGCAGTACGGGACAGGTAGGTACACCCTGAGGCTGGCTGTCTCTGACAAGACCATTCACTACCCTGTGATAGCGCCAGTCTCTACCCTTGCTCCTTTCTCAGTGTGGTAAGAGTCACCACTACTGTTGGACTGCAGTCATGTAGAGGGCAAGGGCAGAGTCACCTTCAGGCCCTCTGTTACCCACCCCCCGCCATCCCTATGCCATGTCTCTGTAACCCCCATTCCTGTACTCTGTCTCTGTTACCCCGCCGATCCCTATGCCTTGTCTCTGTAACCCACATCCCTGTACCCTGTCTCTGTAACCCCTCATCCCTATGCCCTGTCCCTGTTACCCCCATCCCTATGCCCTGTCTCTGTTACCCCCATCCCTATGCCCTGTCTCTGTAACCCCCATTCCTGTACCCTATCTCAGTTACCCCCATCCCTGTACCCTTTCTCTGTAGCCTGCATCCCAATGCCCTGTGTCTACAATCCCCATTCCTGCACCCGCTCTCTGCAACCCCCATCCCTATGCCGTTTGTCTATAACCCCCATTCCTGTACCTTCTCTCTGCAACCCCCAGCCCTATGCCCTGTCTCTGTAACCCCAATTCCTGTACTCTGTCTCTGTTACCCCTATTCCTCTGCTGTGTCTCTCTGTTACCCCCATCCCTATGCCCTGTCTCTGTTACCCCGTTTCCTGCGCCCTGTCTCTGTAACCCCCATCCCTATGCCCTGTGTCTGTAACCCCCATCCCTGTACCCTCTCTCTGTAAACCCCATCCCTGTACCCTCTCTCTGTAAACCCCATCCCTGTGCCCCGTCTCTGTAACCCTCATTCCCTATCCCCTGTCTCTGGAATCCCCATTCCTGTACCCTGTCTCTGCAACCCCCATCCCTATGCCTGTCTCAGTTATCCCCATCCCTGTACCCTGTCTCAGTTACTCCCATTCCTATGCCCTGTCTCTGCAACCCCCATCCCTATGCCTTGTCTCAGTTACCCCCATCCCTATGCCCTGTCTCTGTAACCCCCATTCCTATACCCTGTCTCTGTAACCCCCATTCCTGTACCCTATCACTGTAACTCCCATCCCTATGCCCTGTCTTAGTTACCCCTATTCCTGTGCCTTGCCTCTGTAACTCCCATCCCTGTACCCTCTCTCTGTAACCCCTATCCCTATGCCCTGTCTCTGTAACCCCCATCCCTATGCCCTTTGTCTATAACACCCATTCCTGTACCCTCTCTCTGTAACTCCCATCCCTATGCCCTGTCTCTGTAACCCCAATTCCTGTACTCTGCCTCTGTTACCCCCATTCCTCTGCTGTGTCTCTCTGTTACCCCCATGCCTATGCCCTGTCTCTGTTACCCCGTTTCCTGTGCCCTGTCTCTGTAA